GGCAGCCGCGGGGCCGGGAGGGAGGCAGGGCCCAGGACGCAAGGTGGCGACAAGTCGCGTTTGGCCCCAGGTAACGGGGGTCCGGCGGCGGCGTCCGGCGCCCGCGCTGGGGTCACGGTGGCCGTGCGCAGGGGGAGGTGGCTAAGGATGGCAGGGTCGGGAGGCCTGGGGAGGCGGGGGCGGGCAGGAATCTGTGGGTTGAGCTTTCTGCCCGCAAGCTAATGATTAACAGTAGTGATCGTCACCATCGTAATCCTGTAACCGCCGATGTTCAGGTGAGCACTGATACGGGTGGCAGTCTTCGGGGGAAGCTTTACAAGCATCATCTTCCTAACGTTCACAGTAACTCCAAAGTTGGTTCTATTCTTAACATACTTCATACCTGAGGGAGCAGAAGCTTGCGGCTCAAGGGAGTTGAGAGCCAGTGAGTGGCCGAGCTGGGATTCAAATTCCACTGGGTCTGATTTCCAGGGCTGGACTCCCAGCGACTCTGCAGCGTGCCTTGCTCTCGGCCTCACCTGTGGTCCCAGTGAAGACTTATGCCAGGAAACAGAAATTCAGCATTTTCTCTCAAGTGCCACCCCGTGACACCTTTCTCCCAGGGAATCTCTTTTCTGGATGAGCCTGAAAGGGCGGCCCCTGTTCTGATCCTGAAACACACCAAATTCTCTCAAGGCTTTGCACGTGCCTTTCTTTCCCTCTGCCTGGTCCAGCGCCAGAGCAGGCTTCCCACCCTGTGGGCCATCCTTCCGACTAGCCCCCCTCGTTCTGTATCACTGCCTGCTCATTTTCTTCATAGCATTTATCACTTATCGTTTCATAGTTTTATTTGTTTTTTAAAATTCTCTCCTTCCAACCAGTCTGTAAGCTCCATGAAGGCAAGTGACCATGTCTGTTTTGTTTTTTGGTTGGGTTTTTTGTGGGGTTTTGTTTTGTTTTTGTTTTTGTACTACTGTATCCCAAATGTCTAGCATAGTAAAACCAGAATTGAGGAATATGTTGTTTCTTGGGTACACTCATTTTTTTTTCTCTTACGCAGAACATTATTTATTGCCCTCCTACCGTGTGCATGGCAGGCACTTTGATGGGCATTTCCAGGACGACATAAGATCATAGAAGGCCTTGACCATCAGGCTAAGGAGTCTAAACTTTAGTCTGTAGGCAGTGAGGTGACCTGAAGTATCCCAAGGAGAGTGACAATGTTAGAGCTGTGCTTCAGGAAGATTCTTTTGGCAGTAGTGCTTAATTAAGAGGAAGGACAGAGTAGAACCTAGAAGTCTAGTCTAGAGTCTCAGACTTTAATGTGCACAGAAATCACTGGGATCCTGTTAAAATGCAGATTCTGACTCAGTAGGTCAGGGATGGAGCCAAAAATTTTGCATTTCGAACAAGTTCCTAGGTGACATTAATGCTACTGGTCCTCACCCCGCACTGAGTAACAAGGATGTCGAGGACAATTTAGACCTTTTGTAAAAATTTAAGTGATGGCCAGTGACAGTCTGTCTTAGGACCCCTAAAGGGGCCAGGGACAAATAGGTGGCTGACCATGTAGGTCTGCAAATATTTGTTGACAGAAAAGAGAAATAGGTTATGGAGGATATTTTGGGTAGGAATTGCATTTTGATAATGGTAGCCTAAATGTGAACGTGCGTTTATTTTCCTCATGAAACAAGAAGTCCAGAGGTCAGTGGTTGCTGGCATTGAATTATTGGCTCAAGGACCGAATCTCTGAAAGTATTTTGGCCCTCCCCTTATTATCCATAAGCTGCTGACACTCCAGCCATTGCTTCTGCATTCCAGGCAAAAACAAAGGAAAAGAAGGGAAGTGCAAAAGTGTTCCTACCATTTAAGTAGGCCCGCTCTGAAGAGCTTCTTAGAAGTCCTCTGTTATAACAAACACATCATTGGCTACCACTAGCAGGAAGGGAGATTGGGAAATTGTTGTTTTTTTGTTTTTGAAAGCCAGACACATAGCCAAGAATGAGATCCTGCCTTGATGTGGACCTTAGCACTTGCTCTGCTTCTGCCCTGAGGAAGGCATGCCTTCTTAGAACCCCCCCGCACAAAGTCACCAAAACTGGTTCCTTTCCGGTAATATTAATGGCAGCCTTTGTTTACTATTTGTTATGTGCCATGCACTATGCTGAATACCTGACATGTGTTACTTCATTTAATCATTGTGAGGGTCATATGTAGTAGGTACTGTGAGAGTCTTCAGTTTGCAGATGAGGCGGACAGGTTAAGTAATCTGTTCAGGCTTTCCCTACACGTACATATGAGGGCTGGGATTGGGAGGCACAGTCTGACTCAGCCCAAACTCATAACTTCTATACATATTGTCTCTTTATCCTAACTGCAAAGAAGGTTATTGAGTTTCTGGAAAGAAAAACAAGCAAGAACTACTGATATTCACGTTCACAGAATTATAGCCCCTTCAGAGAGGGAAGGATTTTTCAAAACCATCTAATCTGACACTTTCATTTTATAAATAGAGTCTCATTAATGGCTGAATGTGAAGGAGAATCCAGGTCTTTTTTACTTCTAGGTCAGTACCCTTCCCACTTAGTTGAAATAATATTATTTGTCCTAATGAACTCATGACATTGGACAAGTCACTTCACCTCATGGAATCTCAAATGTTGCCTTTTACAAGACGGGACAGGGGACCGACTGATTTCTGCGGGTGGTCAGTGATGACGTTCAGTGAGTCTATGAGAAAAATGAAAGTTAAATGGTTATATAATCCCAAATGGGGAGCATTTATTCTTTCAAAAAGGACACAAAAGAAGGGACATTCATCTCTTATAATTTAGATTTCCGTGTGTTTTCTACTTCTCTCTATGGTTCAATATGCTTCTCTTTGGGATTTGAGATTTGGTTTAGTCATTTGCCCAAGATCAAATAGCAGAAGCAGTGAAAGAAAATACATAAATCTTGGCTCTCACAGCGTTTATATGACTGCTGCTTTCATTCTCAACATTTGTTCAGTAGATTAATACTTAAGGAAAAACTATCAACATTTTATTGCCAGAACCAACTTATTTTCCTTTTATTGTTTCTAGGAAGCATCAGACGAGAATTTAAAATAGTTTCTAAGGCATGGACTTAAGTTGTTGCATCTCAAAGCCAAACAGTTCTATGAGATTTTTTTCTATAAGCAAAATGTTCTGCTTATAACCAAATTCTCCCTTTTGCACATAGATAGAAAATTTGGGATTTCACCCCCAAATCAATTCTGTCACTTCTTTTGCTGTACACGTAGACAGTGTCAATGGTAATGGAAATCCAGACTGTTTGGAGGAACTGGTTGACCCATTTTGACAGATATAGTTAAAGCCATGGGTCCCGTGGTCCTGGGAGCCAATTTGGCTTATCTCTCTTGTCCAACCCTAGGCCAGTCACCTGCCCATGGGTGCATTGAGAAGTTAGTGAAGATTGGTTTGACTTAACCCCATCCTAACTCTTAGAAAACATGAGACAGGGTCTACATCCAATGAATGTTGAGTTATCAAAGGATAGCACTTACATTAGCCTCTCCATGGGAGGGATTCATAACTACAGGAATGAAAATGGACTGGGAGTTAGTGTACCTCAGTTCACAGCCAAGTCCGACACCTTACTAGTGTGCATCCTTAGCCAAGTAACTTACCTTCTTTAAACCTCTGAACCTCAAGGGCCGGTTGTGAAGAAGATTGTAAATGTGAACCATTACAAAGAGTGTAAGCACATGGTGTGCACACAGTGATTACTACAGTTACCCTTTTTGCTGTTATCAGACTATAAGTGCCTTGACTAACCATGTCTTGATTAACGTCCATATTTTCTGCCCCAACTTAGACTAACAGGGTGCCCTATACATAGTGGGTTCTCAGTATTTGTGTGGCAGGTATGAAGGTCAGTCTATAAAATCAAGGGCACAAGAAACCTAACTGCTTCCTAGAAACCTAATTTCTGACTCTGAGTTACCATTTTGCCTGGCTGGTGGGGAGAGAAAATGTAACCTTCTCAGTGCTTCTTGGATTTCATCATGGCCCCTGCTTCCTCAAGATGTGCCGTAGTTCCAGGGTAATGCCCAGACTGCACAGCACTCAGTCATTAAGGAGAGTGTGTGCATGTGTAGGTGGGGTATTCCATCTGATGTTTGGTCAGTTGTTGCCATATTGCTCCCGTCCTTAGAAACTATTGTGTTTTTGTGATTCTTAGCCGCCTCATGCCAGACTTAGGGTTGAGAATCTGAGCTGAGATGCATATGATATAGATGTACCCACACACCCTCTCAGCAGTGTGTCTGGGAAACCAAGTGCAGATCCCCTGCCTCTCAGAAACCCCCTTTCCTCCCTTCTTCATTTCCGGAGACTCCCTATCCACTCTGGCAGAGGGAAAAACCAGTTCTTCCTTGTTTTTTTCTGGGATTGGGTCAATTCCCCTAGGAATCTGTGCTACTAGAATTTAGGTGTTTGGGAAAATAAAAGCCAGGAGGCTACCTGGACATAAACCTGTCCTAGGCAAGGAAGCCTGCTTGCTGTGTCCTTGAATGTTGGGA